AGTAAAATATTGGCACGAGGGATTATGCCGTCCAAGCATGACGGTATCGTCTTAACCTTTTACTGCATGAGCATATTGCGAAAAATGGCTGTTTTCACTGTAACAAGTTCAACTGCTATGAAATTATTAAAAAAAATGCTTCAATACTGATCAAACTGGGTCATCCCCGCCTGTGGCACCCCCTTGATGTACCTTTTTAATTTGGATGGCACCGAAAAAGTGGTCACTCTTTTGAACAACATTTCTCAAACGAAATAAACAGTGTTTGGGACCTAAAGAGCGCATGTTTTACACTATTTGAGGCCTCAAAAGGGGTGGGGTGTAAAGCCTTCAAAACACGCCTTTATGAGGTAAAAGGTTATAAGGAACATAACCTTTTTATTGCATCTGCTGCCCTTTATCATAATCTTATCAAAATCCATTATTCGGTTTTTTAGCTGTACCCGCTCGGCAGTCATACGGTAACTCATTGCTAATGACGTAACAAATTTCACGTGCAGACGGTCTGCCGTTGCTAGAGTGCAGGTGCAAAATGACCGAAAGTTACCTTTATATGGATTTTTGGCTTAGTAGGAAGTCGGTTGATATTAGATATTGGCACACTTGCTCAATACCGTCTAATATTGACAATCTTGAGGCAGCATTAATGCACTTTGGATGCATTTTTTTACTATTTAAAGTAAGATATGCAATAATTATTAACAAATTCTGGAAAGGTTGATCCTTTGATAGCAACGAGAACTTTGTAAACACAGAAAATTGCTGAGTTCGTTCGACTGAGATTTTTCATAAGCAGGAATGAAATCTGGATTTTTCGCAGATGTTTCCAGTAAAGTACCTCCGAACTCTGCACATATACTGTAAATAAGTATACACAATAAAAAATATTTAAGATTAAATGTGGTAAATACTCTGTGTTTACTACTTGCATTTACTCTATATTGATAACTAATACTCGTAACACTAAAAAGCAATACTCGTGACACCGGCGGGTAACTCCGACGCAATACTCGGTACACTGACATGTGTATTTATTCTCAAAATGCGCTGTCATCTGAGGTTCTGTTGTTGATTGAACATTTACAACATAAACATTATCATCATTATCACATTTCACTCGATTCAAGTTTTTCTTTTAAGCAAGTATATGCACAAAAACATCAAATTTGACTGATGTGAGCTCATTTATCACGTGAGCAAAGAGACGAATTTCACCTCCTAATTACATTTCAAAGCTATTTCTCAACATTTTCGGGTTTTCAGTAACTAGAGAAATTATCGAAGTATTTGTTTTTCTATAAAATTTATATCAAACCAATTCAAAATGACTAAATATCATCACTTATCTTACCTTCTTTCCTCGTTCAAAGTCTCGAAATGGGGTGAAAGTCCTCATTATATCGAGCAATATCCGGGGTACGGTATAGCGCAGTGTTGTTACTAAATTGTTTAAATGTTTGAATTATTTGAATAAAATAATATTTGCTAAAAAGGCTTGATTACTATACTCTAAATACATTTCAAAATCATTTTTAAATAACAAAAACACACACAGTACATAGGTGTTCGGCGCATTGATTGGTCATTACCCCCCCCCCCCCCCATGTCCTTACCCACGCTACAACCCTCCTACCTCTCAAAACCATGTAAACAAACTGCAGTATTTTTCATTTGAAACAAGTTTTAATATTTGGTATATGCTTGTAATTCAATATCTTTCGTATCCCACAAAAATAAAATATTGATACATATATATTTAGGTATGCAACTCGCTGCTCATTTTCAGCACACACTTAATATGAACTCCATAACTCCAACATTTTTTAACCAATTTTCAAAATGTTGGTAACAGATAGTAGGGAATTGATTACTCTTAAAGGAAATAAACGAAAAATGCCCTATTTAGGCCCCAAACACTGTTTTTTGTTTGAGAAGTGTTGTTTAAAAAAGTTATTACTTTTTCGGCGCCGTCCCCCATCAAAATGATAATCAGGGGGTTGCCGGAAGGGGGTGTGCCCCCATCTGTTTGGGAGGTCTGAAGGGGGGGGGGGCGGCAGTCCCCCTCATCGCCAAGAAAAGTTTGGACATGTGACAGGCTAAAAATTGCCTCAGGTCGATTTTAAGGTAACGCGTTACCAACGCTGAAAAGCATTTTTTTATTTTTACTATATTTTAATGCATTGAGAAGTTGCATCACTTTTAAATCAGTTTTGCTGGAAAAAAACAATGCAAATTAGTTTTTTTTCGCAATTTGGAGTAGTCCTTCGTTGCCATGGTAACAGGAAATTTAAGATTCAGCATGCTGTTACAAAAGTTATGGTTCAGTCAACAAATGTGCCAAGTTTCATCAGTATTGAATCATTTTTCATAGTTTTATAGAAGTTTTAACTTGTATCAGGAGGCTTTTCAATGAAAACGGCCAGTTTTCACAATATGCTCATGTGGTAAAAGGTTAAGGTATGGACGTTCTAAACTTACTTAAGACTGGTGGGGTGTGGGTTAAATTTTTATGCTTTCTTAAGTTTAACATTTTCTTTTTTTACTGATTTGAAGGCCTCAGCAATCCAATTTTTTTCAATTCTTTAGAAATGTGAATTTTGTGTTTTATTATGTATTATTAATATATTAAGAGCATAAAAGTTGTTGAACAACTAAAGAAAGTAGCGCAAAATGTGCAGTAATGTGTTTCTAAGGCAGCAAAATGTAAACAAAGTAGTACAAAACACTTATTCACTATAACTTTACTGATTGCCAACATAGCCTGTGACTTTTTCAATTTTCAAAACAACCTGTGGCTTTCCGAAGGGGAATTAAAACATGATAGATCAGAAACGGGGAAATCAAATTCCAAAAACTGAGAATGGAATCTACCCACACATTTTATAAAAGTTTCAATTTCAATTCAATTAAACATGCATCGTATATAGCAGGGCTATCTATGGGGACAGTTTTCTGTCTTCTAGCTAATATAAGTCAGCTGCTGTTAAGTGGTTCTGGTGAAGAATGTGCACAGGGCATTTTAGGGGAAAATATTTGTATTTTTTTGGGAAAATATACCTATTAATTGGTAAGGGGAAACAGCCTTTATTGGGCTATTAAATACAGGAAAAAAATCACTGATAGCAAATGAAGAATGAAGTAAAAGACAGTTCATATTTGAGGCAAATGAACTTTTTAGAAACTGTACATTAAAAAGTTTTTAAGAAATAAAATTGATAGCATTTCTGAGGCACAATGGGCCTTTAAAGTTATAAACAATAATAGATTACCGGTTTCAATATGTAATATGTAGAAGAAAGTGGAAGCCAGAAAGGAGGAGTTATCTACCATAAAGGACGTTCCTCGTGCTAAACTTTAGTGTTGTTACATTTTTTTGGTCCTTCGGGATCATTGATGCCATCATTTTTTAGTGTTGAGAATTGAGTACCGCTCAAGTCGGTGTTAGGGGGCGTGAGGGATGATGCACTTATTCATTATCCTTCATGTACAGACTCAATGAAACTGAGTCTGCTATTTTCATTCAATTTTGTTGCGATAAATGTTTCAGAGGAATCACTTTGTTTCCAGATTAGTAACAAGGATGTCGATAAATCAATAAAGGTCAACTACTTATTTCCATGGATACGGTACAGAAAATTACACAAGCATCTGTTAAGATGAAGAATCTATTCATCAAGGTAAACAGAAAGTATCTACAACGTGTTATCCTGTTGTCATATTTAATTATACAAATGGCAATACCAAATCATTTTAGAGACTTAAGGTTTTATAGCCCATCAAACAATTATTTTAAGGGGTGTCACTAAGTTTAAATTCATGTGCAGATAATATTCTAGGTGGGTAAAGGGGCAAACTCTTTCCCCTCCTTTTTCTTGGATTGATTGTTCTTCTCTGGCTCAAGACAGGTGGCAAAGTCTGATTACTTTCAGTTCATACAGGTTAAAGGTTAAAAAAGTAACTTGTATTTACTTTTATACATTTTGTATACTTTATTTGTATACTTCATAGTTTTCAAATTCGCCAATTATTTTTGGAGAGCATAATTCTTTTGGTCTCTCTGTTTTTAGAAGTCTCCTTTTGTTCATTTGTTCTTCCATCAAGAGCATCTAAACATCAAAGGTACATGTACTATGATGAGCTCTTCTGGCCAGATCCTTATGAATGTCATGGGGTCAAAGGTTTATGTCATCAAGGCCCAAAAACACCAAATACTAACCTTGGTCATTACATATTAATGCTTGAATGAAAAGCCTCCGAATTTAACTGCATTTACTATCTGTTTTCAATAAATACTGGATGTTGGTTGTTCTTGCAGTGTTATTTGATGTCACTTATTACTTTTTGTGCTTTTAGATTTCCTAAAGCAAATGAAGATAACCCTTTGCTCTTTTTTATATTCTTTGGTTTAATATTCTTTCTTAAAATAGAGTTAGATATTCTTTCTTAAAAACCGGTTACGCCTGTATAGAATTTATAATAACTTGAAATACGCCATCTCTTAATTGGGAACAGCTGCAGGGTGCCTGTTTGACCATTGAAATGACTCTTTGACCATTCAAATTTCCAAAAAGTCTGATTTGACCCTCAGGATTTTAACTGGAGGGTCAAGTTTTGTTAAAATCACAGGGATTTGACCTTGTAGTCGGTAAAGCTTACTCAAAATGACCCTCAGGATTACATGGCTATTTTTTATTCAAGTTTAATCATAATTACTAAACTAGCATTTAGGGAAAGGTAACCTACTAAGATCTTGTATTGACTATATAATATAATTTAAATAATGGCGTCTTTCAACATAATTTGCTATTCCTTGACCAATTGACAAGCGTCGCTGTAAATAAAATGTATTTATAACCTTTGAGCTATTAAGGAAATTAAGAAAGGATTTTCGAGTAATCAGATTTCACTTAGGATAAATCTAAGCCAATCAGAATTGGTCAGGAATCCCAATCCTTAAATGAGTTTATCATATCAACTGGTTAAAATTATAAAATACAAAGTCAGCATACAAAATTTAATTAATCAATTTGTTGAAAATTAACACTTATAGTAACAAATTAAAATGAATAGCAACAATTACTGTAAATTGACAGGATTTATTTACTTGTACTCAATTCAACTATTGAATAACCAAATTAATAGTACCGTCTTCTTTTACAAAACTAAACCATACATTTTTTTAAAGTTAATTTCATCAACAATTATTGATACAGATATTATATATACTACAAATACATATTATGCAGTAAAGCAAAATATGCTTCAATTAAGTACGAAAATATGGATATTATTATGTACTAACTTATAACATGGCAGCTTCGAAAACACTTCAGGAAAGTTTAAGGAATAAAGATTTTTGTAAAAATGAGTTCAAAAGATGATAATAAATGAGCAATTATTGATTATTTCATGTGAAGATAATGAATACTACCAAAATGTTGAGAATCAGACATATTAATACAAAAGTGAAGTTATTATCTTACTTTAAAATATCAACAATCAGACATGAAAACCAGACTATATGGCAGTTTGGTTGGTTTATCCTTTTCACATATGGAATTATGGATGCTATTTTAAAAGTGTTTTTTATGACAAGAAATTGCTATTTGAAAAAATATCAGATGATGTTGAGCATAAATATTGCAGTCATAATCTACCTTGTAGCTACCACTCATTTGTCTTGCTGTCTTGCTTTAGTCATTTCCACAGTTTTGTCGTACCTTTTATGTCCTTGCATTTATCAATTCAGATAGGAGTATGGTGATATGAATCTTTGCAGCATTGTTTCTCCCCCTTATATTAAGTGACATCAAATAACACTGTAAAGCGTCTCCAGCTCTACCTTCTTGTTCCATGCATTTTCCTAGAATATTTAGAGCTGTTTCCCGATGTCCAAGGTTTGGTTCCTCTTTTATTGTTCTGATAAGTTTGAAGAGAGCAGCTTGTTTCTGGTCATGTCTTCCAAGATGGCAGTAAACTTTGTATTGTAGAAAGTAGAGGTAAGGGAGGGAATCCACTACAGCATACTCCATCCATAAGTTGTCATCAAATGTACGAAACATTCTCTCCTCTTGTGTAGATCTAAACATTTCATATCTGAGTTCATTTGGTACACAGTGAATTTCACATGGCAGAAATCTAACACATAATGCTGTTGTATACTGTAACACTTGTTCATTATAGATGTAACATACTTCAAAGAATCCATGTCTTACTGGTTTCCTCTCAAATAGATGACAATCACAGACTGGTTCAACAATCTGTAGATCATATCTTCTTTCAATCTCACTGAGTACTTTGTCTGCTTTTTGTATTTCTTGAACACAGTATAAGATTGAAGCTAGTTTCAGTTTACTTGATGCAACATCTGTATTCAGACCAAGTGAGATGAGTTTCAGGGCATCTGCTAATATTGTGTTGAACTGATGTATGTTGATAGAAGCCAAGACAGATCCAAGTGTTGTACAAAACCATTGTAACAGAATTTGACTGGCTGTCTTATTCAGACCTTCATGTTGAAAGTTGAATGTCTTTGATATAGTGTTCTTTAATATTTCCACAGCTTCATTAGGACTACTGTCCTTAAGATGATTATAATTATTTTTCAGTGTCTCAGATATTTTTAAAGCCAGATTAAATAATAGTGTCCCTGAAATGATATAACCTTTCTTGATTGGACATAAATTATAAAACTTGAGATGAAGCCTGGAACCAAGATCATCACATTTAATCCCAAGTAGTGCCACTCCTTCATTGTAGATGGTATTGTTGAGTATTTCCAGGATATATGGTTTAACTGCATGTGAAATCTTCCCCCTCATTAAATTGTTACCAGGAATGATAAAATGTGGACAGTTTTCATTAATGATATTGGTGTACAGGATATATAAACACATTGATATACAAGAAAGTAAGTTATTTTCTCTCCAGATGTTAGTATGTGTATTGGAAATACAGTTGAAGAGTACAGTTTTACACATAAAACTTGAAAGAACATCTTCAAACAATGGATTAATAAATGTTTTTAAAATTAATTTCATCAAGACATAACAGCGAATCTGTGTAATATTCAGATTGAACATTAAACACCTTTCTGCTAAAGATGTTGATATTCTCCATTCAAGTAGCTCATATTCACTGCCACTGCATCCAACACCAACAACAAAGCATCCAGTTCTGCTGCAATGTTGTTTCATTTCAGCAGATGGCCATTGACCTTCACCTTGTTGGTACAACCATTGTCTAGCTTGTGTTGGCCATGTTGTACAATGTAGAGCAAATACATTATCTGCATCACAGAAGCCTAATTGTCCATGTCGTACACCTGCTGGCCCATGCATTTCACGGTCACTATTTATATAAGATACTAGAGAATTTTTGTAAAGTAATTTTCCTGTTCTGTCTTTGAAGAAGTATTGATTAGATTCACCATCAAGAGGAAGAGGAGCATCAGGTTTCAGAGGTTGAAGTAAACAATATCCAGGAGATACAGAATTATCTTGAATCATCAAATGATTATATAAACCAGGTATCCAATCACTCCAGTCTTGTATCACATGGAATTCTTTATAGCAAATAAGGTTATCAAAGTCTGAATTCATACCTATTGTAGTTGTACCTTCTGATTGACTCCCAAAAAGGTATGCTTTGAATTTTCTATCAAGTAGTTGGTAATCTATATTTGTTATTGATTCCAGCAGAAGCCATGTTCTTCTTTTCTTCAGTATAATTCTCTCATCAACACCTATATCAGCCAGAACCTCTGATAGCTTCATTGACACAGTCTCGGTGTAATTTGGTACTTGATACATTCTGAAAATATCATCAATGTTTTAAACTACTATAAAGTTTTTAACATATGTGATTTCTTTACTGATAAACTGATTTTCCTTTTTGAGATCACCACAATCAGATTATTATTGTTAATTGTCCTTTAGAAAAAATTGTTTTATAATGAGTTGATATCATCAGCTTCATCATACTCAATTTTTGTTATTTTTAAAAGAAATATATTATAAAATGTTTTAGATGATTTTTTTTTTGTGAAAATTGATTTACATAGTTTATTTTTTATAAAACCTATGAAATGAAAATTATTATCAGATACAAAATTTTGACTTAAATTATTTTATGCCCCCGGCATATAGTAATTGAACCGTCCGTCCGTCCATCTGTCCGTCCGTCTGTCCGTACGAGGTTAACCTAGAACGGCAAGTTGGATTTTTCTTAAATTATACCTGTACCATGGCTTCTTAGTTAACACTCTTACTAATCAATACAAAGTACATGATCTGGTCAAGTTACATAACTATAGCTTCCATATTTACCAAGTTATTGCCCTTTTCAGCACTTAGAAAATGAATAATGGTTAACCTAGAACGGCAAGTTGGAAATATCTTAAGTTCTATCTATACTAAATGGCTTCATAATTTCCACACTTACTTATCAATACAAAGTACATGATATTGCCAAGTTATATAACTGTGTCATCCATATTTCCTAGTTATTTCCCTTTTTTCACTTTGAAAATAGGGCTTTGTCTGGTTAACCTATTCCGGCAAGTTGGATTTATCGTACATTTCTCTTAATTGCTTAATTTATTTAATGATATCTTGCATATTTGGTAGGTGGATACCTTTAATGGTCTTCTAATTTTTTGTGGAGTAAGTGGTCTCTAGGGTCAAGGTCACTGGTTTAGAAAATAAATTTTAACATTTTTGCTCATACAGCCTTTATTTTTTGGTTGATGTCTTTCATGTTTAATACAAACATGCCAATGGAGGTCCTCCTTGTTTGGGTGTAGTAAGGGGTCATTTGGGTCAAGGTCAATGTCACCAATGTCAAGGTCACCAATGTTAAAAATAAATTTTTACATTTTTACAGGTGTATTAACCATATTCTATAGACAGATGTCATTTACAATTGATAGGAACATAAAATTTGATGGAGTTAGTGGTCAGTTGGGTCAAGGTCACCAGTGCTTAAAATAGATTTTAACACTTTTGTTCATACAGCCTTTATTTATTGACAGATATATTTCATATTTGGTAGGAAGATAACTTGCATGGTACTCATCCTTTTGATAGGGGTAGGGATCATTGGGTCAAGGTCACTTGTGAAAAATAGATTTTTACACTTTTGCCCATACCAGCTTTATTTATTGACAGGTGTATTTCATATTTGATAGGAAGATAACTTTGTATTCTTCCTTTTGATTGAGTTAGGGATCAGTGTGTCAAGGTCACTAGTGCTAAAAATAGATTTTTACACTTTTGCCCATACAGCCTTTATTTATTGACAGATATATTTCATATTTGGTAGGAAGATAACTTGCATGTTATACTTACTTTGGATGGAGGTAGGGGTCAGTTGGGTCAAGGTCACAAGTGAAAAAATAGATTTTATACACTTTTGCCCATACAGCCTTTATTTATTGACAGATGTATTTCATATTTGGTTGGAAGATAACTTGCATGGTATTCTTCCTTTGAATGGAGTTAGGGGTCAGTTTGATCAAGGTCATCAATGCTCAAAATAGTTTTTAATATTTTTGCCCATACAGCCTTTATTTATTGACAGGTGTATTTCATATTTGGTAGGAAGATAACTTGCATGATATTCTATAGGTGTCAGTGGGTCAAGGTCAAGGGTGCCAAGTATAGATTTCTTTCATTTATATTTGATAAATTTTAATATTTATCACTTCACAAGTCATAGCAATGACTTGGAAACTTATATATTTCACAATTACAAAATGCAATGACTCTGTCAAGCTATATAACTTGTGTTTACAATTTTTTGGCAATGTTTCTGTCCATAACTGAGTGAATGGGTAAACATTTTTTTTAAATATTGCTACTGACAAGAATCGGAGCCGGGGGCATTTGTGTTTAACAAACACGTTCTTGTTTTAAATTAACATAAGTGTAAAACAATAATATTATTGAATTATTACCTTTTTGTTTAAATCAAAATATCAGAATAAGTTTTCATTTTGCCAAAAAATCATTTCAATTTAATAATTAAGTTTGCATAAACAATAAATAACACACAGATCGAAATGATATTTCTGTTAATATCCATTAGAACTTACCTATAACTCTCAGTTTATAAAGAGTGGGGCAGTCTTTTTTTAATTTAAGGCAAATTTACAATTTTATCCTTAACATTTTCCAATATCAACTTTTAGTCAAACACTATTTTGACAGACAATCTTCTGAAATATAAAGTCAAGTCAGCTCAATTTGACAATGAACATATGAGCATAATGTAACTTTAATATATAAGATGTTGTTTTTTTAGAGTTTTTTGTGATTGTTTTTCTTCCGGCGTCCGTCCGTCCGGCGTCCGTCCATCCGTTTTCTTTTAACGACATATCCTATTAAACCGCTTCGCCAATTTTATCCAAACTTCACAGGAATGTTCCTTTGGTAGTCAACTTAAAAAAATTGAAAGAATTTAATGTTAAGCAGAACTCTGATTGCCTTGGCAACCGAAATATCTTCTTTCAAATAAAAACCGAAAGAGCTTAAATATTTTGCATGAAACATCATCTAGTCAGTGTCTACCAATTTTGTTCAAATAAATGTCCTAGGGTCAAAATTGGCCCCACCATGTGGGGTCATTGATTTTCCTTATTTGTATATAGTAAAAAAATTTAAAAATCTTCTTTTAAAAAGCCAAAATAGCTAGAGTTTAGATATTAAGCATGAAACATTTTCTAGTGGGTGTCTACCAAGTTTGTTCAAATAAAAGCATGGGGTCAAAATTTGCCCCGCCCCAGGGGGTCATTGTTTTCACCTTTATGTATATAGTAAAAACTTCAAAAATCTTCTTTAAAAAACCCTAAGAGCTAGAGCTAAGATATTTAGCATGAAACATCTTCTAAAGAGTGTCTACCATTTTTGTTCAAATAAGGGCCCTTGAATTAAAATTGGCCCCGCCCCGGGGATCATTGATTTTCCTTTTATGTATATAGTAAAAACTTAAAAAATCTTCTTTTAGAAAGCCCAAATAGCTAGAGCTTAGATATTAAGCATGAAAAATCTTCTAGTGGGTGTCTACCAAGTTTGTTCAAATAAAAGCATGGGGTCAAAATTGGCCCGCCCCGGGGATCATTGATTTTCCTTATATGTATATAGTAAAAATTAAAAAATCTTCTTTTAAAAAACCCAAAGAGCTAGAGTTTAGATATTAAGCATGAACTATCTTTTAGTGTTTGACTACCAAGTTTGTTCAAATAATAGCCCTGGGGAAATAAATGACCCCGCCCAGATGGGGGGTCATTGTTTTCCCCTATATGTGTATAGTTAAAGCTTAAAAATTTTCTTACAGCTAGAGCTAAGATATTTATATTGAAACATCTTCAAATGGGTGTTTACCAAGTTTGTTCAAATAAAAGCCCCTGGTTTAAAATTGGCCTTGGCCCAGGGGGCCTATATACAGGTGTGCGATTTCAGGGCCATCATGGCCCTCTTGTTTGTATAAGTTCCCCTTTCACTCTAAATGTTAAAAAAAACCTCTGTTCTACCCTTGACATCTAACATTTGTTATCTCCCTTTGATGATAGGATAATTTGTATTATTCTTCACAAGTTAATTCTGTTCTCTCTTTTCAGCTCACCAGAGCCGAAGGCTCAGGGTGAGCTATTAGTATCAAAAGGGGATACTCCTGCGGCCGTCGTCCGTCGTCATGTGTCAATAATCATCTCTGAAACCGCTGGACAGATTTACTTCAAATTTGGTCTGTAGCATCCTTGTGACAGTCACACCTAAATTTGCTCATATGATTTCAATTGGCCCCTTTTAGGGGTCAAGAGAGCTAAAAATAGAAAAACCTTTAGACATCTTCTTCTACAGAACCAATTGGTAGATGATCACCAAACTTTGTCTTTAGCATTCTTAGGTAGTCTTTTATCAAATTTGCTCATATTAATTTGATTTGCCCCTTTTAGGGGTCTATAGACCTAAAAATAGAAAATCCTTTAGGCATCTTCTTCTACAGAACCTAATTTATGGATGATCACCAAACTTTGTCTGTAGCATTTTTAGCTGGTCTTTTATCAAATTTGCTCATATTAATTTGATAGGCCCCTTTTAGGGGTCAAGAGGGCTAAAAATAATATAAACCTTGAGACAGCTTTTTCTACAGAACTTACAATGATTTATTGATGGATGATCACCAAATTTAGTTATTAGCATTGTTATAGTAATTTTTTTATAAAAATCGCTCATATTTATTTGTTTGGCCCCTTTTAAGGACTGCTAAAGCTAAAATAACCCAGACCATGGTAATTCTTTAAATTATAGTTTAATGAAAGGGAAACAACTCATGTTGGAATGTCTTTTATATTTGCTGATGAAATTATTTGAGGTCATGAGCTCTGGCAAGAGCAAATAACTTTAGCACATTATACAGGATATATCAAGCTTTATTTGGTTTCATTCATATTCACCTAATTACATCACTACATGCAGTGTTTTCTCTAGAGAGCGTTTTCTGCGTTTTTGACGCAGGACTTTTGCATTTGACGCGGTAATATTATAGCCGTGCGTTTTCCATGACGCATATTTTTGCGAGCGTCGTAGTGTATATTTTTAGCTCACCTTGCACAAAGTGCAGGTGAGCTTTTAGGATGGCCAACCAAATGGCGTCCGTCGTCTGTCGTCCGTCCACATTTTAAATATTCTAAGGACATCTTCTATGATACCGCAAGGCCAATGTTAATGAAACTTGGCAGGAATACTCTTTGTATGAAGCTCTATCAAGATTGTTCAAAGAATTCCATTTCATGCAGAACTCTGGTTGCCATG